AAAAGAGTTACCCATAACAAGTTGAATTGAATAGAAATCAGGAAGTGGGGAAAAGAGTTACCCCCCACTTCCTGATTTCTATTCAGTTCAACTTGGTATAAAAGAGTTACCCCCCACTTCCTGATTTCTATTCAATTCAACTTGTTATAAAAGAGTCCCCCTCCCTGATTTCTACACTTGTTTGATGTTTGGACGCTTAGATTATTCAAAATTGAGGATACTTGAAGATTACATATATTTCTTTTTACAGTGATATGGTGCAAAGACCAAAGTAATATAACGTAGAACAAAGTGCCGAACGTTCGAAGTTCAAGTAAATTCTCGGACGATTTGTATGCTTCAAAACACTATCCGTCCTTGCCCCTTCTCCATTAATTACATTCATTCAGTTTCCAGTTAAATTCTACGGGTTAAATAAATAGCGGAATCTAATTTTTGGACAAAACTACGTTACTTAGGTGTTGGTTGCTTCCCGACTGCCACAGCGTGAGTTGGTCTGGTAAGCTCTAAAATTGTGGCCTCTTTCTGTGGTGGCCGGGAGGCGCGGGGGGGGGGGGTCACCTATCGTTAGCCTAATTGTTAACAGGCGAGAGAGATAATGGCAGGCTGTCATTCAGCGGGTGCGGACTGTTACGCATGACAGCTCCAAGAGTCCTATAGTTCCCACGAAGTTACGCCTCCCTCGCGCGATTTGAATTGGCCACATTAAAATTACTGCACAAAATACTTTTTTTTTTGAGAGAAGAAAAGGGCCAAAATAAGTCCTGACACATGTTTTCTTTAAACTGTCAAGTATTTTTTTCTATCTCCTGAAAGAAGCAAGAAGTTTAAGTGTTTTCGAAACGAGCGCCTTTCAGCGAAACCTGCAGATACAAACAATCGTCCGGAATAATACGAGGTGCAGATAGCAACAGACGCGTTTTTATAGATCAGGTACGTGTACGCGCTCGTACCTCTTGTGCGTGGGAACGTAGTTACCAGTGCGACTTTTATACAAACAATGCACGGATATCTACTGTTCTGAGGATCCAGGCTAAATCCTCCCAGGTAATTAAACACACAAAAAATGGGGGTTTACGCTGCACTGTAAACCATTACGTGTAAAACTTCTGGGCGTTTCCCGTTCTCCTGCCACATCACATATCAATATTCGAAGCGTACATATAATACGCCATTAACTGCTACGCTGAGCTAACATTACCTGACGTTTGAACTAATCCAAGCTGATGTGTCATCATCAAACACGAGGTTTAGTGTCTCTCGCTTTTTTTCGCTACCTGTAATCTAGTGAAACGTGCACGTGATGAATGCACGTATAACCTAGCTATCAAATTATTTCACGAGCTTTTGCTTCCAGTGTGCGTGCGTATCTGAAGAAAAGTATTAATCATGAAACTAGTATAAAGTTCGAAGGGTCTCGGGTCTCATTGTGCAATGAAAGAAAGAATAAAATGCGAAGGGGATGAGGATATCTGGTCTCTTTCTCTCTCTCTGCGTTGAAAGAAATTGTGATGATGTAAAGGTTAAAAGTATTGTTTTATACTGTTGAACTGTTGTTAACTAGCAACGCGGAAGACTACAGTGGTGAACAGCCTTCATTGAATCTCGAGCCTCCGTTTGAAATGCGTGGCTCATCTTACGTTTGCAACCTTCATGTTGCGTTGCATAACATGGATCGAAGTGATGAAACCGTAAACCAGTTGAAAAAAAAAGATCAAATTTCTAAATCACGGTGACAAATGTTCTGTTCATTGCGCGTTTAAACAGGATATTTAACATATAATAATATACACTGACTTCAGTACTGTCTGAACGGAATATTTAACATATAATAATATTCTCTGACTTCAGTACTGTCTGAACGGAATATTTAACATATAATAATATTCTCTGACTTCAGTACTGTCTGAACGGAATATTTAACATATAATAATATACACTGACTTCAGTACTGTCTGAACGGAATATTTAACATATAATAATATTCTCTGACTTCAGTACTGTCTGAACGGAATATTTAACATATAATAATATACACTGACTTCAGTA